AGACGGTTTTAGGAATCTCACTGGAAGGAGGGGTGTCTTCAAGCCTCTCACTGCTAAGCTGGACATTTCCTAACACTGGACAAATTGTAAGTCCAGCTCAGGGAGGGTGAACTGCAGTGGTCTTTTACCCTCCAAGCCAATTGTTAGCTTTTCACAGGAATCAGCAGGGAAGCACATGTGAAACCTCTGTGTGCCGGTGAGTGCCCCCATGCCTTGTGTGACTCTGCATGTAGATGAAGCAGGCTGGGAGCTTTCTGAGCTGCTGCTGCTGAGTTCTCAGAGAAGCCCTTTTCTCCAGCTTGGCTCCCTGCTGGGACAGCCCTTTTCAATTTTTCTATCCCCCCTCGATCTCTTCTCCTACAGAACACAGGGAAACTTGATTGAAATAAAGACCTAGGGAACATGTTTTATTTTCTCCTGTTCAATCCATTTTAGAAAAGCTTTTAATTGGTTTTAAAAAGATGCTAAACAAAATGTGATGATGTTTTTCAGTCTTCATGAACTACAGATACTACTTTTTATACTTTCAAAGGGCTAATAAATCAATCATGAAATTAACTCTTCAGCTAAATTTAAAGCAAATCCATTGAATACCAGCTTCATTAAAAATCTATGGATTTACTTAGAAAAATTTAAAATTCAAAGAAAATTATCCCAGTAACTGAAATCTGACTTCAGTTCTACACTGAAAATTCAAGAGGAAGGCAATCACAAAGGGAAAAAAGGAGGGCTTGTGAACCAATTTTAATAAGCCAATTTAGAGGGGATGGGGGAGGGGTGAAAGTGGAAAAGAGAATATCTTGATACATAACAACATAGTGCCCCTGGAGGGATTCTTTTATTTGAACATGTGCACACATGCACACACACTTTTTCTGTGTGGACGCTGTAATCACAACAAATGCAACATTAAGTATTCTGTGACTGATATGATTGCTGCACTGTATTCAGTTCTTAAGAAAAATGTACACAGTTTTTGTTATTTTGCAGTGATAAATGACAGTTTTCTAGCACTCTATGTACCTTACATCATTCAGATACATATACTTTTTTGTTTTTGTTTTTTGTACCGGGGATCGAACTCAAGACCTTGTGCTTGCCAGGCAGGCACAGTGCCACTGAACTAAATTCCCAGCTGGATACATATACTTTTTTTTTTGGTACCGGGGATCGAACTCAGGTCCTTGAGCTTGCAAGGTAGGCAGTGGAACCACTGAGCTAAATTCCCAGCCCAGGATACATATACTTTTAATATTTAATTGAAAACATCTGAAAACCGATATGATAATGATTTGGTGAAGTGAACGCTTTCACTTTAGAATGACAAGCATTTTTGGCATTGGATAAGCCTGAAAAATTCTCCCTTATTTTCTTGAGACAATATAAACTAATTTTAAAAAGGAAGGTGATATAGATAAGGCACATTTTTATTTTGTTAAATGTATGCCAACTAGAATTGTGCATATTAATTTCCCCCACCACTGAGTCACTTATATAGCAGATCGTCTAGCAGATCAGGTCAGGGTCATGAAATTCTGATTAATGACAGAGAATACCTGCCATTTCCAATCACTAAGGCAACCAGCTATCTTATTTCTTACATATTTTCATACCCTTACTCTTCAGTCCTTATAGAAATTTTCACATCCCCTTCTGGCTGTTGTTTCTAAGATTTCTCCCAAGTTGAGCTCATGTACCTTGGGATGCTCACCTCTTAAGTCTAACCCTCCATATAATTCTCCTTCCATTATTTAAGTAGCTTATGAAACCATATTCTTTAAAAAAGTGACCATTTTATTGAGCTATAATTCACATATCACACAGTTCAACCATTTAAAGTATAAAATCCAATGGTTTTTTTGGGGGGGGGTGTACCAGGGCGTCAAACTCAGGACCTTGTGCTTGTGAGGCAGGTGCAGTGTTACTGAGCTAAATCCCTGGTCCTAATGATTTTTAATCTATTCACAATATGTGCAATCATCATCATAATCAATTTGGAATATTTTAAACACTCCAAAAAGAAATCTATTAGCAATCACCACCTAGTCTCCCCATCCACCCCTCCCAGATCCAGGCAGTCATTAATCTATTTTCTGCCTCTATAGGTTTGCCAATTCTGGACATTTCATAAAATAGAATCATTCATTCAGTATATGGTCTTTTTTTTTTTTTGGTATGGGGATTGAGCTCAGGATCTTGCGTTTGTGAGGCAGGCGACAGTATATGGTCTTTTCTGATTGGCTTCTTTCACTTAGCATGTTTCAAGGTTCATATTGTACATGTATCAGCTCTGCATTTTTATACTGCTGAATAATATTCTACTGTATGAATATGCTAGATTTTATTTTATTTGATGAATATTTATTTTATTTCCATTTTTGGTTATCACAAAGAATACTGCTACAAACATTCATCTACAAGATTTTGAGTACACATATACTTTCATTTATTTTGGGTGTATAAGTAGGAGTGGAATTGATAGGCCATGTGGTAACTTGATGTTTAACCATTTCAGGAACTGCTAGATTATTTTCCAAAGGCTGCACAATTTTTTTTTTTTGCCTGCACAATTTTGACATTCTCATCTGCAGTGAATAAGTTCCAATTTCTTCATCTCCTCACCAAGACTTGTTATTACATGACTTTTGGATTATAGTCATCCTAGTGGGTATGAAGTAGTATCTCACTTTATTGGTTTCTATTTTCATTTCCCTAATGATGTTGACTGTCTTTTCACACTTGTTGGCCATTTGATCTGTACTTATTTTTGAATGTTTTCCATCTTACTAATTCACATCCTGTCTGAATATAAATTCTAGCAATACAAAAACACTTAAGCTCACTAAAATAAGACACTTACATATTTAATGTTACATATATATTTTTGAATAACTATTCATGAAAATATATGTATAAGCCTCTATGCCAAATGCCATGTGATTTAAAAAGTATCTTATTGTTTTTTTCCTCAAGAGCCTTATAATTCAGGATTTTTACAAAATAAAAAGTTGTTAAGTTTTTAGTCAAATGTTATAGTCAAATGTTTAGTCAAATGTCATTTATTACTATTTTCTGTTTACTTCTATTGGTATGTATTTTGGATTACAAGTAACTCTCAGCCGGGGAATGTAAATCTATTTAAATCAATGTGTATAGTATTAAACTATGTAAAGGACAAGAAGTTTAAAATAGCACTGAAAGGTTATTTTTCCTCTTTGCAAGTGACTTTTAGCATAAATTCTTTTTAACTAAAAAACTGAATATTACACAAATAAATCTAAATGCCTAAAAAGCATTTCCTAGTGTAACAAATTTAAAATTTAAATGTACTAACATAAAAAAAAGATTTTTTTTTTTTTGTGGTATATAGATAGATATTGAGGAGAAGTTATTTTTGTTTCAGAGATATATCTATTTACATATTTATAAAACTACTGAAGGAATCAGAAAATGTAATCACCTCTCTAACTTCAGCCTTAGTATAAGCTAAAACTCCAGTTACTGGGAATGATGGTTTATGGAAAGATGCTTTAAAAATCCTTGCATAGTGCATATACACAGTAGTAAATTTTCAAGGGTGTTGTAGATTGTTTTTTTCACTACTTTAGAAATTTAAAAAAGCCAAAAGACCTAGAAAATCAAGTCCTTTACCTTTAAGAGTAAAATATGCACAGATAATTTTAACTATTAAATTAAAACTTAGTCTCACCAACCTAACATTAAGTATTTTCCATACATATTAGTTTATATCTCTATTTTCATGTATTAAATTCCCATATAGACACTAAGATGTTTTTCATATTAATGGTTAACCAATTTGTGTGTGCCACTGATTGGCATTTCTTCAACATTACAGCACACCAAATCAAGACAATTCATCTTGTGACACAAAACATGCTCTGGCAGCCTCTATATAATTAACATATTTAACCAACCTTCATATGTTGATTTTAAATTTGTTAAGCCATCAAAATCATATCTCTAAAAATATAACCACATGAACCAAGATCCTAACCATAACTTCATTCCTTAAAAGTATCACATGACATAAGAGAAGAAACCCAAGGTCATCTGTAAAAGTCGGCATTTTGGGGGGCCGGGGATTTAGCTCAGTGGTTCCGCCACCTGCCTCGCAAGCGCAAGGTCCCGAGTTCAATCCCCAGTACCAAAAAACCCCACAAAAAAGCCAATAGAAAATAGCGAACATATCCATCCTGCCTGCGAGCATAAGGTCCTGGGTTTTTTTTTCCCAGCACTGCCAAAACCAAACACAAAAATAACAACAACAATAAAAATATAAACTAAAAAACTTTGGCTATAATAAATAAAACTTAAATTTCTTCAAATACAAATCCTCAGGAAAATCTACGAAATGACAAATGAATGAAAACATGTACTTAAACTCTTCTACATTAATATCATCTCTTTTGGTGAAGGAGAGTGAGGCTGTAGAGTATGTTGGAGAAATTATATAATTTACCTTAAAACTAAGGCCAGACTGGGCACCTGCAAGCGCAAGTCCCTGAGTTCAATTCCCAGTACCAAAAACAAAAACAACTAAGGCCAGACCAGATTCAGCCTTTTCTTTTCTTTTTTTTTTTTTTTTTGGTACTGGGGATGGAACTCGGGACCTTGTGTTTGCAAGGCAGGCGCCGGAACCACTGAGCTAAATCCCCAGTCGTTAAATGTATTTTTTTTTTTGGTACCGGGGATCGAACTCGGGTCCTTGTGCTTGCGCAGCAGGCAGCGAAACCACTGAGCTAAATCCCCGGCCCCCTTTTTTTTTCTTTTTTGGTACCGCAGATCGAACTTGGGACCTTGCGCTTGCAGGACAGGCGGTGGAACCACTGAGCTAAATTCCCGGCACCCAGATGCCTTTTCAACATCCTTTCAACAACACAATTTTACATTTATGATGATCTGCTTATTCAGATACCATGCATCATTACATGCAATTTACTGAAAAATTGTGAAAATATTCCTTAGTTTATTTGTTTTACCTGAGGTGGTGCTTTTTTCAGTAACACAAGAAGAGCCTGTAATACCAGATTAGAAAATCGGGGGCCAATGGGGACATAATCTGGAAGAGAAACATTGTGATTAGGGATTCGATACACATATGCACATATCCAAACATTCAAACATTCAGATTTTTCTATATTAAGAGTAAATAACAGTCATCCTAAATAAGAGTCAGTCAATTATCTGTAGTAAAAAATATATCCAATTACCTAAATGCTTAAAACACATAAGAATACTAACCTGAAAAAAAGAATACTTATCAATAAATATTTTGAAAAAGCTAAATAATCATTTTGAGTTCATCCAGACATCTTCGTTTTCAGACATAACTTTTTAAAAAGTGGAAAATACCCAGGTGTACTTACCAAGCATTTCTAAGAAATTATGGCAAACCATAGCAGTATAGTATATTGATAAGAAAATTTAATGATAGAAAATGGGTGGAAAGGAGGTGGACATGGTGGTGCACAAGTAATCCCAGTACTGAGGCTGAGGCAAGGAAGCTCAAAAGTTTGAGCTTAGCCAGGACAACTTAGTGACTTAGTAAGATGCTGTCTCAAAATAAATTTAAAAAGGGCTAGGGAGGTAGCTCAGTGAGAAGTCCTTGAGTCCAATTCCCAGTACTGGGTGGGACAGGGGGGATGATAAGAAATTTTAATATAACTAAAATAATGGTAGAACCACTAAGATTGGCCCTCACATGGTGAAGGGAGCTTTCTTCCTATTAAGCTTCTACTAATATTTCAAGATTCAGCATAAATGCCACTCCTTAGCTTTCTCTGTAAATTGCATAAGAACCCAGCTTTGTGCTTAGAGCTACTTGCAGGAATGAGATCCTAAAGTCAAAAGTTATTGCTGTTTTCTGAATATCCAGAACACATACACATTCTGTTTGCATTAGTTTTTGCCATTACTGTATATTACAACAGACAGGCAGTATCTTATTTATTTTTCTGTGCTAATAATTCTAGCACAGTAGTAAGGACTCAGCAAATGCTTACTGAATAAATGAACAAACAAGTACAGAAAATAACTATTCATACAAGTGAAAATATACTCAGAGGGCACACATTCCTGACACAGTAGTGTTGCTATGACCACACATCTCAATTGTGTTTAGATAAAGGAATTTACACAGAGCTATAAGTATGTGTCTAAAAGCTTTTAAAGAAATAATCCTATAAACTGGGCTGAGAATGAATCAAACATAGCATACCAGAAACCTAGGTCATTAGATAAAACCATCAATTTAAGGAGACCTCACAGATATACCTCCTTTGCTTTATAACAAACATTGCCAAACTTCAAGAAAACAATAATAGGGGACCTAATGATGTCCAAAAATCATGGAGAAAATATGATAAGAATAGTTAACTTGAAATCATTACTACATTACTATAAGCAACCTAACAAAGGTTAATCAGGTGTTGGATAGTATTCTCAGATATTTATTAAGTCACCAGGTGGGTTTCTATTTCAATGGAGTTTATTATCCCATCATGATTCATTATTATAATGATTTATTACAGACTGATTTAATTTTACAGTGAATAAAATGTAAAAGTAATAAGAATGATCTGGTATTTACTTCTAGTTTACTCCTGAACTGAGTACAGGGATCAAGTCTTACTCATCTTTATATCCTGCTGGACTGTACTTCAACATAGAAAATGTTAAACAAATATTTTTAAAAATTACTATAAAGTACTTTTAACTTTCACAATGTTTTCAACATTTACTATCTCATTTCTGTCTTCAAAATTACTTTGTGGATAAGCAAAAAAGGGATTATAATCTTTGATAAAAGAGCAGAAACTGAGGTACAGATAGCTTACAACTTCTGTCCTAAAAGCCTTAGTGAAGCTATGGGTTTCATGCCAATCCTAAACTCTCATTCTGTCAAAGTTCACAAGTGGACCTCTAAGTTACAGGCAACTCAGAAGTACTGAAAAGCAAATATATCTATGAACAACAATTATTAATCATTTATTAGTAATGTAGAAGATAGAAAACTGTAGAAGACAGAAAATCATATGAGACATGGGTCCTTATAAGAAGTCAGTTTAGACATTTGTTTCTTCACTACTGTTAAGGAGGCTGAGATTTGATTAAAGTATCCACAATTATAATGATACTGACTCCAAGGTTTATGTGATTATAAGTCCACACTGAATCATGTTTCCTATCATTTCTGCTAGAATTATACTAAAATGTTTTTCCAAAATGAAAATGTCTGCAAGGCCGGGGGGGATTTACCTCAGTGGTGCCGCTGCCTGCCCCACAAGCGCAAGGACCCAAGTTCGATCCCCAGTACCAAAAAACATCTGGAGAGGGCTGGAGATTTAGCTCAGTGGTTTCACCACCTGCTGCACAAGCACAAGGACCCGAATTCGATCCCCGGTATAAAAAAAAAAAAAAATCTGGAGGGGCCTACATAGATCCTATTGGACATTTCTGTTATCTCACTTTGCTTGAAAAATGTAACAGTAATTGACATAAACATTTACATTCACAGGCTGTCTTTTAGTGAGCGTATTCACAGATCAACAAAGGATTGTGAATATTTGAAAAGTAGGTTTATGGCCCTATTGCCTATTTCCTATATAGAGACTTGTATAATTTTGTCACTGGATTCAAAACACTGGCCAAGGTTGGCAGACAAATTCAGAGAGCCAGTTTTCGTGGCAAAATTTGTTAGCAATGTACAAGCTGCTCTTAAGAGGATATTGTGATGATATATCGTGTCAATATTTGGCTGAGTAACACTTGAATTTAACAAATTCTTAAATTCACAATTTACAACTAATGTGCTATTTCAGAAGTAACTTTTTTTTTTTGGTCAGGGCCACAAACATTTTGACAAGTCCTAAATGGAGAGATTAGGACTTTCCATATATTCGTAATTGTTCACATCTAAGCACTGAAATATAAGAGACAGTGAATAAATGAGACATGGGGTTAAATGATCAGGATTGAAAAGAGAGTCACATTGTGTGTTGGGAACTACATCCTTGAGCATAAAATGACTTACTCAAAGCAAATGGAAATGAAGGTTTTGGAGGGCAAAGAACACTGACAGATCTGGTGAATTGTAGTCAACTTTACAGTTTTACAATTTTAAGTTATTCAACCTAATCTTGCAATTGCATAATCTTGCTATTTGATTTGTGGTTGGGATCAAAAGAGGGAGACCCCTCATCAGAGACTGTTGAGGGCTTCATTGTGACATGCAAATAATCATGTTCCAGAGATCATAATTTATTTTTTAAATTAAGCTAACAACTACCTGTGCTAAGATAATGTCTTTATATCATAGAACTTTACATTTGAGGAAAGAGTCTCTAAAATGTAATCTATCTACTTATATTTCCTGGTGAGTCTGTATTTTTAAATATTTGTTTTTTAAAATATTTCATAGGAATTTTAATAAAAATAAATCTGTCTCAAGGATGCCATCCTTCTCCTCTAAAGAAATAAATGTAATTGGCTCAGTGGTTCTGCCACCCGCCTTGCAAGCGTAAGGTCCCGAGTTCGATCCCCGGTGCCAAGAAAAAAAAAAAAAGAAGTCAGTTTATAATGTAATTAAGGTCATAAAGCATCTTACCATGAATACTACTGTTGATATCAGATATAATTTATATTTCTTTGTAAGATAAAGAACAGGGTTTCTACTGCTCTACAGTTTATAAATATCATTATTTGTCTCTTGTAATATTTGAGACCTCAGTGGTAAAGTGGCAGGGAGTACAATGGCCAAAGTTATGACTCACCAAGTAATCTCTCAATGTCATCCACAACCACACAACTGAGTTGAGATTTGTATGCATCATCAAAGATCTGAAAGAAAGCAAAATCATTTATTATCTCACTACCTTCCATAATTATGAAAATTTCCAAAAACATTAAAATTACTTAATTCTTGGGAAAAACCTAAACAAAGCTAGGTAAAACTTCAGAGTACAATAAATTAAATTTAATACATTATAGGGTTTTAGACCTGAAAAAGTGCTTATAAGGAAATTGAGGCCCCAAGCAGTCAAATGACTTGTCCAAGATAACATAAATGGATTATAACTCAGTAGAGAGCAGGTTAAGGTTATTTTCAGCAGTAAGAGCTACAGGTATGATAACTGGGCATCTTGAGAAACAGCTGATCATTAATCAACTAGAAATCTCATCATGTTTATCAAACTGGTCTCTCATATTTTTGTTAGGAGGTTGACTTCAGAATTATCACTCTCAAGTTCTAGATTGAGACAGAAGAAATATGTAGAGTAAATTGGATGTACCTGCAAGAATTGTGGTCCTCTTAGGCAGGAATAACAATGAAAGACCAGAATCCTATCATCTCAGATAAGACAATAATAGTAAAGAGTTCAAGAAAGAATTAAAACTGGGAATGAGCCAGGCATGTAGCTACTCAGGAGGTCGAGATAGGAGGATCACTTGAACACAGGAGTTCAACACCAGCCTGAACAACTTAATGAGATCATACATAAGTTAGGAATGAAGCAGGAAGATGCATGTGTAAAATCAGACCCAAAGATAAAACCCAAAGATAAGCCTGACAAAGAAATGCAAATTAAAACAAGCAGTGAAGGAAGCTGTTGTATCTTGGCACAGATGCCAATTTGAAACTAGACAGAATTAGTTTACGTATAAGTTAAATATAAGTGTCGATGGCCTTGAGACCAGCCCTTCTGTAAATGATGGGGGTTTCTATTCCAGAAACTATAAGCTATGAGTGAAGTTCAGTGCATTCCATTGGTGTCATGAGTACAAATTAATTTCTGCATCCAGCCAAATCTTTCTGGTTGATAAGTAACTGCAGAGCACCAAGACAGCAACTCCTGCTCTGGTTCCCACCCACATGTTGCTTGGGGTGGCATAATATTCTTTAGTGAATATATTTTAACCATAGAAACTTTAGAATTAGGTACATAAATAAAGTAAAACAAACCAATAATATTAAAAAAATCCATGTATACTTAGTCTCTAAACTATTTGTAACAATTAAGAAAAGTTACCATAATAGATCCTCATTGTCACCATCCTCATTCAGTTCCTCAGATGTAAATCTTTCCTGGCATAACAACAATTATTTCTGCCTCCAGATATTTAATCAGATCAAACCCTTCTAGTGGAAATATTTTTCTTTGTTCCATTTCCTTTATCCCTCAATCACTGTACCACACTTCATCAAAATTTCATCTAACCTTTTCTCCTTAGCTACCTATATCCACACTGGCTGGTGGATTGGATTAAAACTTCACTGTTCATTTTATCTTTAGTGCCCTGCACAGAACAGTATTCAGTAATGATGTTTGCTCAACAGATTCAACAGTTGAAACAAATTCTAATTCCATCTGGCCCTAAGTCACTTGTCCCTCTTCTTCCTTGTATATTTTGCATATATTGTGGATTCATAGTATTTTTCCCTGTATTACCCTGGACTGTAAGCACTCAGAAGAAAGTACTGTTTTAACCTTATCTGTATCCTTATGTCACTTAATATAATGACTTACCAGAAAATAACAACTATTTACTAAAAAAAATAAATTTATGCATTTTAAATTCAAATAGAAGCATCAAGTAGTAGCTGGAGATGTCTGATTGAATCTAGGGAATGCAAATCATTCACAGGACAGTGCTGAAATCATGACAGGGGATGGAGATATTCAAGGACAAATGGTAAAAGAGAAGAATATAGGACTAAGGACTCACACAATAAGGAGCATTATATTCATTCAAATATATTTGAATTACTATTATGTGTCAAACATTAAGGAAGGCAATGGACCGAATAATAAATACCTTTATAAAAGTTAATAGTGTGAGTAGAAATATATCATTTTCTGAGAGAAGATTTAAAGAGTCACAGCATGATTTGCCACATTCCTTTTACTGTCTTGTCTCTCATGGAATCACATATGAGATGGAGCCTCTATTATCTTGAATCTCTGAGAAACTGCAATGACTAGCGATCACCTTCTGAGCCATGATGGACATATAGAGTGAGCAAGAAATGCACTTAATTGTGTTAAACCATTGAGATTTTAGGGTTGTTCATTACTGCAGTGTAATTCATCCTATCCCAGACTCATAAAGGAACTTAGGGAGTTGAGGAAGGTCTCTTAAACTTAGGAAGTAACATCTAAATTGAGATCTGCAGAATGAATAGGAGCTGACTAGTGGAAAGTGGGGGAAGAAAGTATTCTAGTAGAGTGTACTTAACATTATGAGGCACAGAGACGAGAAAATTCAGGAATGCTGCAGGAATGAATATACAGCCAATAAGAATTAAAATGAAGAGGCGATGGTGTTGATGCAGAGTACAGGGCAATGGTGGGTGAAAGATGAAACAGTAAAGGTGATAAATGAGTCTGGACACCGAGGGGCTTACAAATTTCCTATGAGTTATAATTTTATTGTTAAGGCAATAAACAGCTACTACAGTGTTTTAAGCATGGAATGAAATGTAAGGTTTATGATTATGTTTTAGAACATTTTTTCTGGCTAATGTACAGAAAAGCATTAGAAGGGAGTAATAGTTTGAGAATGGAATTCTAGGTGAGAAATGATGGTGGCCTAGAAGTGGGTATGCTGAGAAGTGGACAGGTTCTAAAAATATTTTAGGAGGTAGAACTGAAAGGATTTGGTGAATGAATGAGTACAGTGATGAGAAAGAAATAGATGTCAAAGATACTTATTTGGCAAGTGAAATGAAAACAAAGAACAGTGTAAAAGCTGAATGGAGAATAAATCAGGAGTACGCCTGAAGAAAAGGAAAAGAAGAGCCCTTTAGCTATTTCCCCCTGTGCTCAACCCCAAGGAAGAGAAGATGAGAATAGAATGTTTCCATCTCTTCATACATAATGCTGGCTCCTTTTGGCTTTGAGTTGGTATATCCAAGACACTGGAATAATCTAGAAGCAGTTCTGCACAGGTTCTTTGCTATTTTTGAAGACTAGATCAATACAGCAGCCAATGTGATTTTTTATAAACTCAGATGATTTCATGGAATCATTAAAAATAATGCTTTGCTTTTCAAAACATTTTTCAGAATTCTACTAAAATCTCTGAGGCAAAAATATACTTGTGTTTGTTAGGCTGTGAGATCATGGATAAGAGCTACAGAGGCCTGAGATACCAGGGCCTGGCTGGCTGCAAGACAGTAGTTCTGTATTTTCCCTGAATCAGCCCTTCTCCTTTCTCAAAACAATGTATAATTTACATAGCTAGTCTGAGACCCACAGAGAAAAAACTCAGAAGAGACCTACTCAGGACATTCCTGGGGTCTAAGATGATGATAAATAGCTACTGGTAAGTAATCTCACTAACTTCTCAGATATTGTAACCCACAAAACATTATAAATCACTTCCCAGTTAACTGCATAGCAACTTACAAGATTTTAGAAGAAAAATACAGTCATTTAATGTAGTGGGGTTTTGTTGTTGCTTTTTTGTTGTTGGTTTTTACAGACAGCTCTCGGTGTACTAATTACTACCACAGAGAGACAAACTTGCAGCCAACTCTCTTAACAATGTACTAACCATGACAAAGCCTGTGCAATGCCAGTTGTAACCTGACTAGTTTCAATTGACTAGTCAACTGAAACTCCTCTGGGTAGCTACTCTGCTCTAATTTAAATATATACATATATATCTTTCACTTCTTACAGTCTCTTCCTTATCTGATCACTAGTGTAATATGATGAGGTCATCCTTCTTCCCCTGGGTCCATGATTTCTGTTTAGTCTCCTCAAAAACTCTTAGCTTCCTGGCTGCAGTCTCTAGCAGAATGTTCACCAAGAAGAGACTCAGATTTGACTGGCAAGTACATAAGACAAGCTGCTAAAGTCTAGTGAGATATTCACATACAGAGCTGGGAAGTTCTGACACAATGTTAGGTAGATAAACCCAAAAAAGCAGAAGGTACTGGAAGAAAAGATGCAGGAAAAGTAAAATCATACAAACTGTCCTAATCAGAATATCATAGCTTGCCATCACTAATAGCACAGAACAGACACACAGTGCCTGCTCCAGAAAAATGATGCCATAACACAGAGGCAGCTAGCTGGGCTGAAGCTGGAGATAGGTACTCTATCTTACTGAGTCTTTAGAAAAATCAATCTAAAGAATATATGGTCATCTTAGTTTTGTTTAGGAATTTCCTGAAGAGCAGGTGAAGTTATTGGCATACATGGAAGGTCTTGGAGTCAGTGAAAAGTCAGAAAAAAAAAAAGAAGCAAAGTAATAAAGAAGAAACAGTGGCATAGAGGTCAGCATAGAAATGCTGAGGTCTGCTGTAAAAAACGAAAACCACCTCTAAAAAACACAGAATCCTACAATTTAGCTGTGCACATAGTAAGACTGCCAGCATTAAATTCTAGGGTACTTTCTCTTTTGCTTGCAAAGACAGACCGTTTAACATAGATTTAAGTGTCATAAAAGACAATCCAGAACTCAAGGCAAGAGTACACTGAACACATTCTAAGCACCGAGGAATGGGAGAGATGGGATCTTCCCATGTAGGAGTTGGAAGCAGGTCTGCATATTGTGCAGGACACTGCAAGTTCTTCAAACACACAGCTTACTCCTGGAATCTTAGAGAAGCTAGATCCACCTGTGAATAGGGGTGGGATGACAGCTGCCGGCTCTGGAGTCATATGAATGCAAATGCAAGCACTCCAGCCTTAACTTCATGTTAATCCTTGTCTTTCAGAATCACAAACCAAGCAAAGTGTGTTCTAAGCAGACTGTCCTCCATTTTCTATAACCTCTTTAGTACTCTTAGGTAAGGGATGCCAAATTCTCTGGTTCTTTTAGGAGATGAA